GTTAATGACATATTTTCTAGGAAAAAAAATAATGATTTGTCTTAATAAAGAATGAAAGACTGTCAGGAACAATGTTTCAGGTGTCTTATATATAAAAACTTTATGATTAAATATAAATTTTCTCTTGAGACAAAGAAAAGACAGTGGACAGGGCATTATTAGTAAGATAGAGTTCTTTTAGTTTTTATATACAGTGATCTGGATATCAGTAAGTGTTATTTCAGACTCAGTTCTAAACTTTTTTGGTAATATTTTTATCTGTGTTAGAGGAATTTGAGAAGATAAGAGAACTATGGAGATAATGGTATATTAGAATAGTATATGCATCTTAAATTTGTTTATTAGTCCTGGAAGAGAGTTGTGTGTGTATATTTTGGGAGGGGTGCTATTGAGTACTGAAGAGGTTTATAGATCACTGTAGTCTCTGAACCTCAAGGAGGAAAAAAGGCAATTAAAAATTGTTCAGATTGAGTATTATCAAAGGTAAGAAAATATGAAGTACTTGTTCAGATATTGACAAGTATTGATTAATAACAAAAATCAGAGCCACAAAATTAGAAGATATTCACTTTCAGATAACATGAGGCTAGCATAAATTTAATAAAGTTTAGACATTTAAGCTTGTAATTGTAATGCAAGTTGATCATAGCTAATTTTGTTTGAGAGATAATGTAAAAAGTTCAGCAGTTTTGTACTTTTTGCTTTAATATAGCTATTATTACTATTATTTCTTAACGTATAACACGTTTTTATAGAATAAAATGTTAATGTTTTAGAGCCTAATGATTTCTGTGTTAGTCATTCCCAATACCATGCAGGAGAACTCAGAGTTTGGTGCGAATCTGAGAATGTGATTCCCGTACCACCTCAGGGTAGAACTCCACCAGGGACTGCTCCAGCTGTTACTTCAGTGAGCAACATGAACAGCACAGTTGCAACTCCTGCCCGTTATAACATGAAGAATGACCCCAGGGGACTCAATGTATTCAAACAGGAGAAGCAGAAGGTTTGTTTTAGGGAGTTAACAGACATAGGAGTCTAGTAAGTGTTACTGGTTATGTTAATGTAGTTATCTACCACATAGGTGGTATTATGAGTATGCTATGTGAAGTAAATAGAATTGAAATTTTCAATTATGTTTAAAATTATAGAATCACAGTTCACTTAAAAACCATGCACACAGACTATTTGCTGTCCTAAAAACAAAAAACAAGAACAAATTTAATGCTTAATATCTCAGTAGTGAGCAGGACAAATGTAAGTTTGCACATTACTATGAAGTTTCTGTAATTTTTCTTGTCACGGAAATATTGGGAGCATACTCTAAAAGGGGAGTTAGGAGCATATCTAATTATCTAAATAGACTAGCAGGCATAGGAGTCAGGTAGGAGCTGGCAAACATTGCTTTCCAGGGAAGAGTGTGTGTGTGTATAAGATTACTATTTTATATTTTATTATCAAATATGAATAATAGTAACCCCTCTTTAACTATCACTGTTAGTTATTTACAATGCCCCGGGGTAGGAGATTTATCGTATAAGCCCTAAAGATCTTAGGTCATATTTGAATTTATTAATGTCTTTATGTGTGTGTGTTGACTTTCAGGAGGTATAATGGGTGCTGTATGATTCCCTTTACCATTTCTTGCTTACTGGAAACTTCAGGAACCCCACAGTTTGAACAGTTTGCTTATACTTTGTTTTGCCTTTGAAGAGACAATGTATACACTAAAGCTTAAACCCCCCCCCCCAAACCTTTATGTAAATGTTTGGTTAGTTATTGATGATCCTAGAGTAACAGACTAAATTTGCTGTTTAGAGTGAAAACAAATCTTTAGTAATCTTACTATTCAAATATTATTAATATCTTTTCCCAGGGAAGGGCCTTAATTATGCCTCCGAATAATTGTATGCCATCGCTCTTGGCTTTAACCTTTTTATATTTACACCCCTTACTCATAATAGTCACAAGAATGTAGTCCATATTTACATTCTTTAGCTTCTCTGTCCTTCTTAAGACTTCATTGCAAAAATCTACTTTGTCTTATATTTTACCTTTCCCTAGTTTCAATTCCTAGCGCTCTCTCTAATTACCTCCACTAGGAATTACTTAGAATATTGGAATTGAAATTCTGAAGGTTGTTAAAAAAGAATACAGAAGTAAATGCAACTCACAGATGAAGAAAGGTTATTGTAGATAGACTAATATAAAACAGTAGAGTAAGTACAGGATATTGTACATTTACTTAATTGAGATCATGGCTGTGACCTTTTGGTTTATTCTAAATTCATCAGTTTCCCAAGAGTTGCAGCATGTTGTTGAATCCCTTTAGTTTGCTTTTTTCATGGTTCTCAGAACAACCAGTCTCCACTTTCTGGACCAGTCTGAAGCAACTGTCAAGGAACAAGCTGTTTTCCTGGAGCTAAACCTCACTAATGGAGCTCCTGAGTGGAAGCTTATACTTAAAGGCAGCCTTAGTGTTTCTCATCAGGTTCTTCAGATTGCTACTACATGAATGACTTATTCCCGCCACTCCCCTTAACTTCCAACTAAGTGAGGGGTATATGCTTACACTTGAAATATACATAAATAAATTAGATTTGTTTGCATCTCCTGTGTACGTTGACTGGTTTGTAGGGGGCCTAAATAGTATATGATATAATTATACTCCATGTAACTTGTTTCATGACTGACTTGACTCCCTTTTGAAACATGTTTAAGCTTCACTGTATCTTTTTGCATTCCTAGTCTTTATGTTCCACAATTGGTTACGACATTTTGTCTCCTTTTGGTTATAAAAGAGATATAAAAATTTGAAGGAAAATGTCAATAAAAAAGAAAATCTAATTCTGCCTGTAAGAAGATATTCATTGACATGTTACTTAAATCCCAAAGAGTGGGAAGCTACCCATTAAATGTCTGACAAGAGTAAAATGTTTAAGTAATTTTAGTAAAAGCACGGAATACAGCATCTAATGGCATATTGTATAATTTAAAATAATAAAAAGATATACATAGAATTGAAGAAAGATTAAAATGCTCCATGAATGTGGACTTTATAAAATAGGCTTATGAAAAAATATTGGAAGATAGCATAAATAATAGTTGTGTTAGATTGATGAGAAAATGGGAGATAATTTCCTCATAATTCTCAATTTTCTGGGACTCAAAGAATTTTTTTAAAAATAAAAATACAAATGTGAAGAGTTTGATAATTCCTCACTTTTCCCCCTCTTGTTGGCCTCATGCATTTCCTTTTAATTTTTTAGTCAACTTTTTGATGTGAGCATATTTTTTCCCCCAATTCTTAACCAAAGCCTAAAGATTGCTCACTTGCCATATTGTTGACTGTTTCCTTCTTTTTTTTTACAGAGGAAGGCAACATGCCACCCTCATTTTCAGAAGTTGGACTTGTTTTAGGTTGGAATTTGAACACACTTGAAAAATCATTTTGAAATATAATTACTATTAGGGGAAAGAATACTGGTGGAAAGCAAAATATATCAGGAACTGATTTTTAATGATAGAGATGGGATTGGTTGCAGATAGGGAAGGATAGGGCGAAGAACAAGAAAGCAAGAGAAAAAACCCTTTGGTTCACATGCTGGCACTCAATCCACTGAACCATACCAGCCAGAGCTGAAGTAGCCTTCCTAAAAACCCTTCACAACTGTGAAGCTTCTAAAGAAAATTAGAAAAATCCAGGTCAAATACTATACAGTGATGGACATTAGAATCTCGTAACAATTTCTACATGGATTTATTCATAATAATAAAGTCACCTCCCTTTTATAAGAAAGTACTGATTTTGCCCCTTGAACAATTTATTTACTCAATATAAATTCAGGAGGTGGGATGATCTGATAAGTGTATAATCTATATTTAAAACCTCATCAATGAGTACTGTGAAATGCCATAAAGTTGATTTGGAAATACTTTTGTTGGAAGTTTATATCTGAATAAAGCAGTTTATATCTTTTTATTTAGAATTAAATTTTTAGCAAGTAAAATTTTAAAAAGATGACTTATTGCACTAATACTGTTATGTTGTATGTGATGGGATTAATGGTGTTAGGATTGAAGGATATCAAGGCACTTTAGATCACAGGCTCAGGAGTACTTGAGTACTGTCTTAGGTATTTATTTTATGCTTTTGCCACTAGTTTTAAATGGCTAAGTGTTGGTGAAAATGAAGATTATGAGGGCTCATAGTTTTAAAACTGTCTGGGTGCTTTGATTCCATATTGACTTTCATGAATTATAACAAACAGTGGTAATATGAAGGAATCATTTATGTTTGAGTTTGAGATCATGTCATTAAGTCCCGTCCGTTCCCCCCCCCCCTTTTTTTTTTTCGGTTTGTTTATTATCTCCCTTTCAGGGTTTATATCCTTCAGTTTTTTTTCCCCCCCATTAATAGAAGTTAGGTTTTCTTTTAAATGTTTTTCTTAGATAGTCTCCTAATTTTATTGGAATGATTACAATAATATCCCCCCTACCCTCCCAGAACCCCATCTGAATTGCAGAATCAGAGCACTGAAAATGACCTTCGTATTTGGATTTTGGTTGTCGTCAGTTACTCAGCATACTTTCATTAAGTAACTACTGTTCATCAAAGTGCTGGGTTAAGGGGTCAATACAAAAAGAAATGACTCTTGCTCTCCCAGCCTCTGAAGTATTGTAGGAAAGAACATCAAAAATACATTATTATGATATATGATAAGTGCTTTGGTAGAGGTAAGTGCAAAGGGTTATGGGAGTAGAGGAGGGAGTGGGCTTATTTGCTTTATTTAACTGGTGACATTTATGGATTTAGTCCTGAAATTGTTAACAGGTGACCGTAACATTCGCTATCAAAAAAATATCTTAACTGAAATTGAAAATTGTCAAAGCTTTTAAATAATTATTTTGAAAAGAAGGATGTGGAGTTTAAATTTTTACTTGTTTAAAACCTATGAGATTTGGTCAGTTAAAAAATTCCCACTGTCTTTGTAACACAGAATGATATGGAACCTAGCAAAGCCGTTCCACTGAATGCATCTAAACAGGATGGACCCATGCCAAAACCACATAGTGTTTCACTCAATGATACTGAAACAAGGAAACTCATGGAAGAGTGTAAAAGACTTCAGGGAGAAATAATGAAGCTATCAGAAGAAAATCGACACCTGAAAGTAAGTTGGATTTTGAAAATATGTTGATTTAAAGGAACGCATAGGACATAGGAATATTATTAGGCCGTTTTATCTATCAGTTTTGGGGCAATTCTTTCTCCTTTTCTTCAATTTGATTATGTCCTGTCCTTTGCTCCCAACTCCCAGCCTCTTTTAACAGATTTACCATGGCTTCTCATCACCCGCAAGTTCTTTTCCAAGGCATTGCAAGATTCTTAATTTGTACCCTTCACATACTGTGCCGTAGCCATATGAACTGCCTAGAATGGTGCTGCTCAAAGAGTAGCCAGCTGCTGGTCACGTGGGGCTATTGAACACTTGAAAGGAGGCTACAGTGGTACCTCAGTACTTGTTGTTAATTTGTTCTGGAACTTGTGATGAGTTCTGAAACCAACATGAGCTACTACCATGAGACTGACATGTTGACCTCTGTTTCATTGAGAGAGGGGCGCTGAGTGGTGACCAAGTGCCAAGTGCTGACACATTTTCTTCTTGTCAAAATGCGATGAGTGCAGGGTTTGTCGCTTTCTGAAGCTGACAATTACTGAGATACAACAGTAGTTTGAATTGAGATATGCTGTGAGTGTAAAATACACACTCATTTCTTAGAATTAGTACCAAAAAAAGGTAAAATGTATTTTTTTTGTATTGTTACATGTTGAAGTAATATTTTGGTTATATTGGATTGACTACAATATATTATTAAAATTAATTTTGTCAGGTTTTTTTTCACTTTTTAAATATGCTGTTAGAAAATTTAAAATTACATACGTGGCTCACATTTGTGAAGTTCCTATTATGTTTGTATTGGTCAGTGTTAGGCTCCATTTTCCTGAAGAAGCCTCTCTGTTTTTATCAACCCTCTTTTGCTTTAGCTTAACTTCTTCCTTCTGACTAGAATGCCTTTAAATTCTTGTCCCTACCCTCACAGCACATACATACATGCACATTTGACTCTTGATACTTGTTTCTGTCATTTTTTTCAGTATAACCTTTTATACGATACTCTAAAAAGAAAAGAAAAATTTTTTAGAAATGCATTTCCTTTGTTTCCACCATGCCTCTTTCTTGTTGGATGTGTTTCTGCCTCTAGTGGATAGCACTTTCCTAGCACTTTCCTTGGGGGCAAGGACTGTGTGGAGTCATCTTTGCATCCATAGACATATATATAGTAGCCATTAGTATATTCGAATGAATAAATATATGGAGTGGTGAATTGAGGCCTAATTTGAATATGTATGGAGGTTATTATTAATTAGCCTTTGACAAATACTTATTTCAAGATCTGAATATCTTTACATTTCTTTTTAAGTCTTTGTTTTAGGTTTTTGTATTAAGTATTGGTATATAATGCAAAAATGAATATAAGTAAATAAGCTAAGTTATGGAACTTAATCTACATTTGATTATTCTGTCAAGTGTACATAAGAACTACCCTTCATCAAAGGCACTATACTGTGACTTGATCGGTGCTGAAATAATTTTTCTGGCTATCTTCATATCCCTTAGTACCCCCTCAGGGACCACCTGCCTCCAGCACCTATCTGAATAGTGGAAAAATTATCTCCATTTCATACTCACACATTTTTGTTAATTAATCTGCCATGACTTGCACAAGTTGTATTCTTTGGTGAAAGATGTGTTTCTTAGCATACTCAGTATATTTGTTCAAAAAAATCAACGTTTATCTCTTGGCAGGGAGGGCAGAAATGAAAATGGGAGGAATGGTTGGTACATGTAGGGCAAATAGGAAGAGTGAATGAGGAGATAGGGGAGTGAGACTTAATTTCTGATCTCAGTTCTTTATAGGCTGATGTTCTCTATGAGATATTATTTGGAAAAACATTCTGCTATTTAAAAGATAAAAGACCACTGGCTTACAGAATGAATTTCAGTCTCTTTAATATTTTATACATAAGACCCATCATAATTTGTTGCCATATTAACTTTCTTAGGCATGTCTGATCACTGACCTTTTTTTATATTACTCTGCTCCAGTGGTTCTTAATCCAGACTGTGTCTGAATCTCCCCGAGAGCTGTTTAAAAATGCACCTGGCCAGTCCCTGCCCAGAATCACTAGGAGCATATTTTAAAGTTCTTGCTGGGATTCAAAATCATTGCTCTCACCATACAGGACTAATTAACATAAGACCAAAAAGACCCACAAACCCTCAGAAAAATCTAGTAATGCAAATAAAAAAAAAAACAGTGTGACATCAGGTGGATTCTTACAGTTGGCACAGAAGAGTCAGTGTGAGAATATAAAAATTAGCTTGCAGTGAGGAGATAAAAAGTGTGCCCTGCGATTTCACCTGTTTGAGATGATGGACACAGACAGATAGAGCCAAATGCCTGAGTAACAAATACAGGTATCAGTATTTTCCCTAGGGTCATACTGCATCTGATAAAGTGTCATGACAACCTCCTATAAGCCTCCTGCTTTCTTACTGGGAAATATTGTCCCCTAAAATCATAGATTGTCAGAAACTTTGCTGTGTGGAAACCATCATATCAGTAAGAATGAAGCAACTCACTCTGGTCAGGAGCATCAGCATCACCTTGGTTACGGAAAAGCAGCCTCACTGTTCAGTCCAGGTGCAGAGCCTCAGATGAATCTGCTTCTGGATACAACACTCACCTCTATTGTAATTTGTACTTTCCAAAGAAACACAATTCAGTGTTTACAGTTCAGATCTAGTACTGATTATACACAGCCTTCCTGCTTTATTTTGAGCATATCAAAAAACTACATTATTTAGATTTCATCCTGAACTCTTCCCCTTTCTTTCAAATCCTATACAGTCCTACCTTTGGTGAGATACCTGTGCCCTGCTGTGCAGGTGCCGTGGTTGCAGTGAATTAGTGAACCTGTCAGACTGCAGGTTTGTTTCTGGTAGTCTTTGGCTAATTGGGCTAAGGTAGGTGTAAAAAAAGCTATGGGCCACTTTGGAAATACGTATATGCACAGAACTCTTTAATTGTATTAATTTTAATAATGGAAGTTTTTCTTCAGTGTAAATACAGTTATATGTGATTTTTCAGATTTTTAGGAATATATTTCTTAGCTCCAGTTTTTAAAATCAGCATTATTGTAGTATAATTTACATTCTATAAAGACACTAATTGATAAGTATACAATTCAGTGATTTTTAGTGAATTTATAGCATTGTGCAGCCATCATTAGAATCCAGTTTTAGAATGTATCACCCTAAAAAGCTTTCTTATGCCAGTTAGCAATAATTCCCTATTCCTACCCCCAGCCACATGCATACTGATCTGCTTTCTGTCTATTGATTTTTAGCTCAGTAGTCTAATATGCATATTTATTTTTAAAACCTTTTTTTTTTTTTTTTTTTTGTGCATATGTTTTTTTCCTAGGATGAAGGCTTAAGGCTCAGAAAGGTAGCACACTCGGACAAACCGGGATCAACCTCAGCTGCATCCTTCAGAGATAATGTCACCAGTCCTCTTCCTTCACTTCTTGTTGTTATTGCAGCCATTTTCATTGGATTCTTTCTAGGGAAATTCATCTTGTAGAGTGAAGCATGCAGAGTGCTAATTCTTTTATTTTCTCTTGACCAGAAAAAGATTTGTTTACCTACCATTTCATTGGTAGTATGGCCCACGGTGACCATTTTTTTTGTGTGTACAGCGTCATATAGGCTTTGCCTTTAATGATCTCTTACGGTTAGAAAACAATAAAAACAAACTGTTCGGCTACTGGACAAATTGTATATTACCAGATCATCACTAGCAGATGTCAGTTGCACATTCAGTCCTTTATGAAATTCATAAATAAAGAATTGTTCTTTCTTTGTTGTTTTAATAAGAGTTCAAGAATTGTTCAGAGTCTTGTAAATGTTATTTTAATAATCCCTTTAAATTTTATCTGTTGCTGTTACCTCTTGAAATGATTTATTTAGATTGCTAATCCCACTCATTCAGGAAATGCCAAGAGGTATTCTGTGGGGAATTGGTGCCTCTTACAGTGTAAATTTTCTCCTTTACCTTTGCTAATATGGCAGAATTTTTCTTACCCCTTGTGAGGCAGTTGTTGACTGAGTTTTTCATCCTTACAATTCTGTCCCATGGTATTTAACATAAAAAAAAATAAAACTGTTAACAGATTCTTGCTCAATAGCTTGTTTGTGTCTGTCGTGTCATTAGATGGGGATACCAGAAAGTCCACTCTATGATAATTTGAAATTTATAATGCATAATTTTATCTTGCATTGAAACCCTTTCAGATTTACAGTATTTGTAAGTAAGTCTTCATACTATTAAGGAAAGGAACTGATAAATTTCGTGCTACTTTTGGTATTTTGGAAGATCATAATCAGTTTGTCTTCAAGATAATACAAATTAAGCAAATACCATGAGAATAAAAGTGCTGTAATTTCTGTCATTTTATATGTATGCCTTGTGGCTGTGTTGCGTTTACCCCATTCTTAACAGGTCCTTTTAGTATCATTCCAAGAAAGATTCATTCTTCTTGGTGGTTCTAGTCAAATGCTTTTAAATGAGCTTATTAATTTCTTTTATAATATTTTGTTAGGTAAAAGTAGATGTTTTTTCCTGCCCAGTTTGACACTCAAAAGTAAATTCCCATTATGGAAATTTGTTACCACTGAGCAAGCCTTGGGATCTTTGCGAAAAATGACTATTCTTTGCAGTTCTGTTAACCATGTGAAACACATTTTCAGTATAAATATACATTTATAGGGCTTGAATTTATTTCATTTGTATTAGAAATAGAAAATTTTGGAACCATAGAAAATGTGTTCAGTTTTTTTTTTTACTGAGTACGATCTAATCCAAATGAATTTTTATCCTGAAAGTAGGTGTTGGTTTTGTAAAAGATACACTTCTATCTGAAAGGGAGATTGGACTTCAGGACTTGATGTGGTGCAGTGAGGTATGTTAGGCCCACGTCTGTGTATACGTTTTATAAATGAGTGAAATACTCCCAGTATTTTGTTTGCCTTTTCATTTTAAGTATTCATTTTGAATTGTCTGATCACATTTATTGTGTCATTGGCTCTGTATTATTTTCTATAAAACCTCTTGATTTTGTGTAAAAGTTACTAAAAACAAACACAAGTAACACCTATCCATTACTAGTATGCTACTGCAGGTAATGTTTCCATTGTTGTATGATTTACAGTCATGTAAAATTTCCTTCCATTTCCGATAACTGGAAAAACATGGTAGAAAGAGTCTTGCATTTTTAATCCCATAAATGCAGAATCAGTAATTCCTTGGCTTAAAGCTCTGTATAATCTACATTGCTGGTGATAAGTATCAAGCCTGATATTTCAGTGCTGTCATTTTTTAAAAAATTGAAGTTCCCAAAATTTAGCAAAATCCCGTTTTATGGGAGTGCTCCTTAGAATTCCTTTTGTTCAGTCCCTTTGTTTAAAGTTGAGGAATCTAAGGCTTTAAGAGAGTTAAGGAGAACTTTCCTTGCATCTCATAGGTAGGTGAGGCAGACCTGGACCTAGAAATCTGCTCTCCTGACTTTAGTTTGGTGTCTCTTTGGTCACTTTGTAGGGAAAAGAAATTTGTATTAATTCAGCTCATGACTGAAGTAAGGAACCTAAGATGCCATTTAATAAGTGTATGTGGTTTTCTATCATAAGCTTGTATTGCAGGCTACTACTTTTGAATAGTTTCATGTATATGTTTGCTTTTAGTGTTTAGGCTAGAAATGCTTCCATCCCCAAACATTGATAATAAGCAAACACTATGAAATACAGCATATTTTTAGATAGGCATTCTACAAAATGTAATATGCAGTGGCTGGATTTTAGATAGATTGTAGTCTGGGTAGCATCTGCCAAAAAAGTGTGTGTGGGCTTAACTGTTTTATGTGTCAGGAGATGCTCTAATTGTATAGGGGACTTTTAATTTCTGTTCTTTTTAATAAGTGTATGAAGTATGATCAGATTATTTTATTACCAATGGTTACTTTAAGAGAGTCCAACTGTATTGACTGATAACATATAGATTAAATTGTCTTCATTCCTTACATGTTTAGAAAATTTTGTCTGCCTGCTTACTTTTGTATGTAAGCATGAGGGAAATACACTGTTGCTGATATCAAAATCCAGTAACTAAGGCCTTAAGTTCGTATGTGATGTTAAATGCACTACTTTCCTTCATTCTTTCTATAGTTAATGTACTTTAACTTTGCCCATTCTTGTATTTGCAAGAAACAAATTTAAGAATTGTACTCTGAATGTGTTACCTTTTTAAAAATGACACTTGGAAAAATGTACTAATTCAGAAATTCTGGTCAAAGAAATAATACTTCTCCGAGTATCTTGCTCAGAACTTTTGCTAAAATTGGTATTACCTGCTTGGGAATTACTTTTGGATTGTAATCATTCAAACTGTGCCACTTCAAAAACAAGTTTTATCAATAAGGTAAGAAAGAGTTCTTGTACAGTATAATCCTAAGTTGTGATCTTTTGCCACTTAAAAACAATCAAGTAATAATTTTCCTAGAGCTTTGCACATTCCTATTCAGTGATTTGGTGTGTGCATAGATTTTTAAAAATTGACCTTTCTGAGAGTTAGGGAAAGATCAGTGTTTACCGTATGGAAAAACAATAAAATGAGGTAAATGATCTTTATTTTCTAGCTTTCAAAGGAAATTAAACTGTTGCGTGAATAAATAAACTGATTAAAAATCTGGTGAAGTGTCATTTTCCTTTCCAAAAAAAATAAACCAAAAGAAAAAGTAATATGCTTTCAACAGATTATGATGGTTTATATGTTTATGTCCTGTCAAGTAGTAATAGCCAGTCTGTTGACTGGGACTTGAGTTCTAATGGCAGGTAAGTCATTTGCTTAACGACCTAGCAGTTAAATACTTTCTGGTAGGAAATTGGAATCAGCTGGTTTTTTAGTTCCTCATTTGAGAGCACACACTGTTGGTAGAAGCCATGCCGCTGGAGAGTTCTGTGAAGGAACGGTGGCCTCTTGTCAAGGCCCAGCCTTTTGGGGATCAGTGCAAAGAAGTTTGAACATTCATATTTAGAAAGAAAATTTTAATCTTCCTACATTTCTGATTGTAGAAATAATGATGTTTGCATTTTAGAGAATTTTGAAAATACATTACAAAGAAATGTCAAATCCTGACATCCAGCAGTATCAATTTCTATGGGCATTTATTTCTTTATAATGCTTTTAAAGTATAACCATGAATTGCGTACAACTTTGTATCCTTTTTTTTTCATGTAATCATTTCTCTGGTTTATTGAAAACCAAGCATAAGTGACTCCAAATACTTTGCTTTATTTTTACGATCACTTTCTCCACCATAGAGTTATGGACATTTACAATGTAAAGCTTAATTGGCCAGGTAATTCTATTTCTAGTTATGCATACCCACATTTTTTCAATTGTTCCAGTATATAACACCCATCTTGAAAGAAGGTGTAGGGAACTATTAAGTTTATTTTTATTGGTATTCCACTACAACGTTAATGTTAACTCATGTCATGAGCTGAAATGATGCTTCAACAGTACTTGTATTGATTGATTTAATTCACCTGGGATGGAGACTGAGCATGGTCATTTGTTTTCAAGCTCCACCCATTTTAATCTGTAGCCAGACAACTGCTTTAGGGGCTTTTAAATGTCAAAGCCCGATACAAAATATGTTTAAGACAAGTCCTACAGTTATAGGGAAGCTCTGTTTTCTGAATTCTTTGTATATTAATCTTTACAAATGAGTTGCAAGAGTCACCTTTAGTTATTGCTTAATGCAAGTGCATTTTTGTTAAGTTAGGATTGTTAGAACACCAGCAAGATTTTCAGTTTGTAAACAAAGATGAGCTGTCTGTGTGAAAATAAATGATTTGAGGATTTTATAGGGCTCGGTTTTAATTGCCACTCGGCTAACACCAGATTATCTTCACCCACCTAAGAATTTTATTTTGCCCGTTATGTATTCCTTAAAGTATTGGATGGTCTTCAAGATGCTTGTTACTACGTGCTAGGTAATAGCCTTATGTCAGCTCAGTTAATCTTTTAGGTTGTATGAAGTAAGTACTGTTTTCAGCTCCATTGTATAGGGCGCAGGTTGGCAGACAGCCTTTGAGAGGTTAAACGTTCAGATTTACACAGCTTTATGTAACAGGGTGGGAATATTATGTAAATTTGGATCCTGATGGTCTGATGCTAGAGCCCGTGTTCTTAACCATTGTAATCTGTGCAAAGGAGATGACCTGTACCAACTCAAATACTGACTCCAAAAATACTGGTAGGTGATTTTGTGATGGCTTTTGAGTTCACTTTAAAGACAGTGCTTAAAGATATTTCTTTGAAAACTTTTGGTTTTTAATTTTCAGACTTCCTCGCCATTATCTCTCAAAGAAGTGAAAAGAAATAATCTGCCCATTAGTAATTACAACACTTGAACAAAATCAACATGGACATTAGTAAGCAAATTAATGTGAAGGAGGTCATAGAACTTACAGAAGTGATTTGTGTACACTTAAAGACTGGAGAATTTTGATAATTCATGGTCTAAATTCTTGATACTGTTGATTCTACAAAGAACAAAGGATGCCAAATAACAAGAACCTTGGGAAAAACTTTTTTTAGAATTTAGGTATTTCTATACCTAAAAATAGGTATAATTTTTTAGATTATACCTAAGTTCTATACCTAAAAATAGGTGTAATTTTTTAGAAGTTATACCTAAGTTCTAAAAAATGGAGAGTTGAAATTGCAAGTACTGTTACACATTACTGAGCAATAGGAATTCCTCATGTAATACATTTGTTTTAAGAAGTAGAGGTTTGTGAGGAATTACATAAAAGTTAACAGTGTTAGAAGGCAAAGTTGTTTTTTCTTTGTGTGCTATTTTAATACAAAGTAAATCCTTAAATGTGTAATATGTAGATAAATATGTGAGGGTGTGTCAAGCTACTTTAAGTTTGAATTAGGCTACTTTGAATTAAGTTTACTTTGAATTAAGTTTAGGCAAATATGTCACTTACAAATGCAGCTAAACCACTGAGGGTCGAAGAACAGTTTTGCTGCAAAGTATTCCTTAGGATGCTTTTGTGTACTTGCTGTCTAGTTTTATATGAAATTGAAGTAAAATTCAGATTTTCTTTGAAAAGTTTAGTAATCATGTTTAATTTATCAAATAAATGAATTCTCGTCTCCTAAAGGGAAAAATTCTCCTGCACTTTGAGACCTACCCCTCTCTCCCCATTGAGTTTGACGACTGGGGGATTTACTCATATGTTTTAAGAAGTCATGGTTCCTTACCAAGATTCTATATTATGTGATGAGGAAATGCCTTAATAAGCCTCTTTTTAATTGGATAAAGTGGTTCCTTTGTAAGGTATGTGGTGAGTAGAATGAGAATTTCAGGGAGACAAGTATATTGATGTGTGCTGAAAGCTTTTTACAAAGTGCTACAAATTGTGCATCCTTAAAATGTTTGCATCGCCATGCAATATGAGGGGAACAGCTACTGTTGTGGAGTATTTAACAATCCTTGCAACATCTGTGTGGTTGAGGTAGTAAATGGTATAAGTGTTCCCAACAACAACAAAAAAGTGTTTAAGCTACTTAGGTATGTAAACACATTCTTTCCACCCAATAATGCTTAAATCTCCTAACTCCAAGAAACTGCATTGCAAATCCTGATAGAAAATGAGGTTTTACATTTAAATGTTTTAATCCCTTGATTATGTGGGGTGAGATGGAATGTAGTGCCTGTAAAATGGCATTTTCTTCTATTTCATTATGAGGTTTTCTCCAGCTTTCAAACAAATTTTATTTTTCTGTATTTGCTTTGGATAGTTTGGTTTCTTTTAAGGAACAAATCTTCAAAGATAATGATAACTGCAGTTGCCTTAATTCCCTTCCCCAGTCACATTTTCCTTTGTCGAATTGCTAACCTGAAACTTGTACATGTCATTCTCATTCCTGCATCATTTTACTACACATGTATGTAATAGTATATAGTGAAGTTTGCAAGTTTTAAAATGTTCTTGACGGAGAATTTTATTTCTGTAGGTCTACCCTCACCTAAAATTCTAATTTGGACGCTCCCATACTTTCAGGTATATCCCTTGGGGTGTCTTCATACTTATGTCGTGAACTAATACACCATTTTCTCTGCTCTGTCAACTTGGGCCCATTGTAGTGATGTTTTCTGTTGCTGCTAATGCTGGAATTGAAATGACACCTGTACCTACAAGGGCCCTGCCACTGCTGCTGAAGCTGTATCTGGTGGTGGTTTGTTCTAGGACTGAGGTATGCAGGCTGCTGGCCAAAGGATAATTGGTCTGACAAATACTGCTCTAAAAGCCAGCTGCTATGTGTGGCAGTTTGTGTTTATATACATATGCACACATACTTTTAGAAATAAGTCTAAGGGAAGAGCCAAGGTGTGTGTGTACACTTAAGATCTTCATGTTACTGTGCATCCTTGCTTTGTAGGTGTCTTGTGCATGTGTTGGGGACTGTGAGTGTGGGTGTGAAAGTGGTTTTTCTTGCATGTTTTGAAAATGGAGAAATGTCACAGAAGTGGAATTCCTACTTTTGAAAAATTCAAGATTTGGGACACAGGACTTGCACTCTTATAGGCAACAAAAACTACTCGGTTTTACCTACAATTCTCATCGCTTCTTGTTTTAGACTTTTTACTTACCTGCATAGTCCCCGTATTCATCTGAATTTGTCACTCTGGTTTAGATACTCATCATGTTACTAATATTGAGTACTTGTCCTGTACAGACACTAGTGTGAATGGAGACGGGGTAAGGTTATACCAGATTGGAATTTTAGTTCTGGGCAGTGGAATCTAAGGGGATTCTATTGGGTGGCAAAAAGTACTTAATGCATACTTAGACCTAGTCAACAGATGACTGAGCCCAGAACATCCAAAAATGGTCAATTGGAACATAGGTATAAAGTTTGAGGAGCACTAGTATCTCCTTTTACAGAGTACCTGTTGTATTTCAGGATATTTACATATACACACATTTCTTTTTTTCAGAACAACCATTCCAACTTTTTAACAGGAGGAGAACTTGGGAGAAATTTGCCCAGGCTCATTGTGGTAGAGCCAAGTCTTGCTCCCAAGCTTGGGTCCTTCGCACTGCGCTGTGCTGCCTTTGAGGGGGAAAGGGGAATGATACTGCGAAATTGACTAAGGGTTGTTGATTTCATTAACAATGAGAGTCCCCTTTGGACTCAATCGCTTTGAGCACAGAGTTTTAAATTGTTTTTGCTTTTCAAAATTTTGGCATCAAGAATGAACATACCTAGCCCTAGCTGGGTGGCTCTGGTTGAAGCATGGTCCCATACGCCAGAAGCGTGGGGGTTTAATTCCCTGTCTGGGCACATACTTAGGCTGCTGGTTCAGTCCCTGGTCGGCGCATATGGGAGGTAACCAATCAATGTTTCACTCTGATTCCCTTTCTTTATAAACATTTTAAAAATATTAAGAAAGACATACATTTAAAGCTTACGGCGCAATACGCTAGCTAGAAGTTGGAATGTGGCTGCAACATGGTTCCAGAATTTAAGGTATTTTGAAATTCAGGCTCTTTATAGCTGGACTTTTAGAAAGTTAACAGATTAATAGCTGTATAAATGGTATTTAACATTATAGTTTCAAATACTGAGCATGAGTAGCTTGGGAAGGAAGCATATCAAG